CCCGCTGGTTGAGGGGAGGAAAGACATTCTCGTCTGACTTCCTTAGGGGCAATGGTGTCCCAGGAGCTGTAAGACAGGACACCATTGGGGCTGGGGTGCTTGCTGGTTTTAAATTATGGGTCAGTTTGGGTGTAAAGAAAAGGGGAGGGGGGCTTGAAGCCAGAGGATTTTTCATGATCCCTGGTACAGAGGAGGAGCCAGTCAGAAGAGGTCAAGGTAGTACCCAGCACAGAAAGGTGTTCAGGAAGGGGTGGCTGGGGAGCAGATGAGGGGGAGGGCAGAGGAGCCTCACACTAGGGTCTCATTTAGAGGCGGGGCTACTAACTGTGAACCGCTTAGTGTCAGGGTGGTTCATGGCCCTGGCCTGCGGCCCATTGGCTTGCAAAACTGGGACTCTGATACTCACTGGGAAAAGGTAGGATGATATAGCACCCATCAACTACCCCCACTGCTGGGGAACTACTGCCAAGTGCCCTTGCTGGGGGCTTAGACAAGAGTAGGGTCCTGCTTGTACCTTGGCTCCTGGTTTTCATCTGCCATTTCCCAAACTCGATCAAATCCGAGTCAGTTGCTCAGAGTCAGGGCCTGTTCCATGAGCTGAGCTCTGGGTAGGAACAGACACAGAGCACTGTGTGGGGTCCCCACAGGAGGCCTGTGCCCGAAGCCCAAGTCTTGCCTGGCTGCTCCACAAACACGGGCTCCAGACTGGAACAGAACGGGATCGGAGGCTATTGGCACTTACTGTCTGTGGGCCCTCAGACAGGCAATTTAACTTCTGAGCCCCAGTTTTCCTCATCTGTGAAATGGAACTACTGCGTGCCCTTCCCTACAGGGTTGCTGGGAGGGAGGGTAGAAGGGAAGAGGTCTGTGAATGTCAATCACTGAGCCCGCCCCCTGGCCAGCACGCCACGGCTTGCCTACCTGCCGCTACTATAGTCCCTCACAGACACAGACACAGACACAGACACAGACACAGACACAGAAACAGACACAGCGTGTCTGCTCTTTGCTTTATACAACACTGCATAGCACTTACCTCACGTCCCAACTCCCAGCCGCTTCATAGGCGGAGCAGGAGTTCATCAGCTCTATTCTGATTGGCTAAATGGTAGCCCAGAGGGATCCGGAGCCTGGAAGCAGGGCTTCCTGTTTCTGTCCAGGGTGCTTTCCATGGCACTGCTCTGATGGCCTCCTGGGGTGGCAGCGTCTGGGCACTTTGAGGAGGCCACCCATCTGTCAAGGACCCTGTCCTTTGGGACAGCAGCTGCTGGCCTAAGACCTTTCCTGGGTTCTAGACGCAGCGAGGCTGGTCCCTCCCCAGTATGACTTGGCTCAGAGCTCACCTGGTGTTGAACAGTTCCCTATAGAGCAGGGTTCTCTCCAGTTGCTGACAACAGGATGACAGTTTGTCCTGGACACCAAAACACAGTCCCTCACCTCCCCCACACCCGATCCAAGGCCTCCTGACTCAGTGCCCCCATCCTGACGCAGCCCCACACGCTTCTTTCTCCTCAACTCCTTCCTAGCTCCACCCAACCACCGCTGTCCCCAACCCACATTATCTGCCGTCTGCTGTGCTATGTGTTGCCAAGCTGGTCCTTAACCCCGAGCGCCTGACTCTGAGCGCCCCGTTTCCCAGAGAAGCCAGGGCTCCCTGCAGCCAGGAGCGATTTCTCCTCTGCCTTCCTAACTCCCCCCAGTGACAGCCCGGCTTCCTCAGAGCAGAGGGGGCCTTGGTCATGGTACCCTCGTGAGAGGCCTAGCCATGGCCACGGAGAGGAGGGGCTACAGGGCCCCGAGCCTCTCGAGGAGCCCCTATGCCCTCCCCTCTGGGAAGGCCCAGCTGCGCTGGTAATAACGCGCTCTGCTCCCCTTTCTAAGAGGCAGCCGAGGAGACCAGCTGGGTTTATAGTCTGCAGATGTGCGGGATTAGCAGTGGGCTTTTCCAGGAAGAAGCGATTTGGGATGGACCCTCATTAGAGCCTCAAACTTCCACCCCAATTTCTTTGGAATTTGTTCTTTATATTTATTTATTTAAAAAAAAAATTTTTTTTTTCCAACGTTTATTTTTTATTTTTGGGACAGAGAGAGACAGAGCATGAGCGGGGGAGGGGCAGAGAGAGAGAGGGAGACACAGAATCGGAAACAGGCTCCAGGCTCCGAGCCATCAGCCCAGAGCCCGACGCGGGGCTCGAACTCCCGGACCTCGAGATCGTGACCTGAGCCGAAGTCGGACGCTTAACCGACTGCGCCACCCAGGCGCCCCTGTTCTTTATATTTAAAATGCAACCTGAATACTCAGCATATTCAAACCGGGCCAGGTTGCTGGCAACCATCAAGGGGTGGAAGCCACTGACTTGTTCCAAAGTGCTTCCCTTGATAGCAAGGATTGGAGAAAATGGTAGGCAGGGGGTGGGAAGACAGTGTGGCACATTTCCTCATTTGCTCCCAGGTCTCTTTCGAGGAAGGCAGGGGCCACGCTGGAAATGCACCGTTCGGATTTGGGAGTCGGGACCAGCCTCACATGTCTGCGAAAACAGGGTGACTTTATATGACAATTGTTATTATGTCTCCTCCCCACAACTCCCAGCCGCAAACCCGCCCTCCTTCCACTTTCCCCAGACTGACTCTGTCCTCAGCATCGCAGACGTCAGCAGGCCGAGGCGGTGGATGGAATGTGGGGCTAGGACACTGGTGCCCTTTCTCTCATTTCCATACCTCCTTTGAACCCCTGACTTCAGTAGGTCCAATGTGAGCCCCGCTCCCCTCCCCCCGCCCACTCAAGTCTGAAGGCCTGTATGTGCAGAAAAGGAAGCTGAGTACAAGGAGACTCAGGAGGTGGCTGTGTCCAGACAGCACCGGGGCTGTGAACTCTCAGTCTGTGCCCCGGTTCAGACTCAATTGCTGTGTCTTGCTTTTTTCAGATTAGCGAGAAGCTTTGGGCAAGAATCAGGGCCTTGAGGGCATGGGGCAGGTACGTAGGGGGTGAGGGGACAAGGAGGACAGTCCCCGTCTGCGACATAAAGGGCTTCACGGGGAAGAGAGCCCGGGGCAGGGCACTGTGATCAGAGAGCAGGTGGGTGCGTGTGTGTGGTTTTGCGAGTCTATCTGGATGTATGTGTTAGTGGGAATGCACGCTCTGTGCAGGCTCTTTCCCCCCAGAGGAGCTACGGTTTCACTGCCAGCAGCAGAGGCACCAAGACTGGTCTCTGCTGCTGAAGGGAAGTAGGAGACAAGTGTTACAAAAACGACCTACGTTCACACCGCACCCAAGTGACAGAGAACTTTTCTCATACATGATCCTCTCAACAACCTGCGGAAGAGGCATCCTTCGTCTGTCTTTCTTTCTTTCTTTCTTTCTTTCTTTCTTTCTTTCTTTCAACTTTAATGGAAATAACAAAAGGGAAATTGGTAGGTTCAACGGGGCTTCTGTAAAATTTATGGGTTTTAGGCAGTGCGTCCTGGAAAAGGAATTCAAGATGAGAGACAAGGATGTCACTGGCTGGTGGGCAATACAGATGACAGTGTCCCAACAACTTGGAACACTGAGTCTGAAGGTATCTGAAACTTTGTTTCTAATATGGAAGCAGAAACAATGTAAAGAATTTGAGGACAAAAATCTACTCCTCCAGGATGATGTGTTGGATGTAACTAGCCCTGTAGCATATACACCATGATGATAAATAAAAAGATACTTCAGGGGCGCTTGGGTGGCTCAGTCCGTTAGGTGTCCGACTTCAGCTCAGGTCATGATCTCGTGGGTCTGGGAGTCAAGCCCCACGTGGGGCTCTGTGCTGACAGCTCAGAGCCTGGAACCTGCTTCGGATTCTGCGTCTCCTTCTCTCTCTGCCCCTCCCCTGCTCTCTCTCTCTCTTTCTCTCTCTCTCTCAAAAATAAACATTAAAAAATTTTTTTTAAAAAGATACTTCAGAAAACTCATGGTGGAAAAGAGCCTTCACTGGCATATGATCTGGCTCAAGTTAAGTAGCCTCTGCCCAGCTGCAGAACGGTGGTGATTTTTATAGTTCTCATTCTTCTTAAATTCTCCTGGGGAGGAAACCCAACCTTCCCAGATGGGGAAGGTGGAGTCTCTCACGTGAGCCAGGGGGAGGAGGCCTTGGGAATCCTAATGTGAGCCTGGAAGAGGAAAGTCTGGTGGTCTCTTGGGTCTGGACGAGGTGGTCTACACCCGCCTCCTGGCTGGATTGGCCCTCCTCCAGCTTTCCCTTCCCAACGGGCCCCTCTCCGTGCCTGCTCCCTTCCCTCTCATGAGCCTTGAGGGTCTTGAGCCTCTCATGGTCTTGAGGGTCTTGACTGTCCAGCATAAGCCCTGGCAACAAGCTTGGTGCTCTGCAAATGTTTGTTGAATGGCCAATTAATATTTATTCTACATGTGTGTACAGTTGGCCTAGAACTTTTAACCAGTGGTTCAATTTAAATGCAGCTGAGCCGTACATTTAACCAGGTTTGTCAGACGAGGCTGACTCTAGGTGTGTCTGGACCCTGTTCTTGGGACACTGGCTGCCTGAAAGCCAGTTCCTTGTGGCTTTTGCCATTTCCCACATTAGTGCAGTGTACCTGGCGGTCCTGCCAACCTCTTCCTGGGGACTCTATCTACTCTTGGATGTTGGGATCTCCTGCTATTTGTTGACTACTAAATGACTGAGGAACGAATGACTGAGGAATGAATGAATGATATAGCGGGAAGATCATCAAGCCTAAGTATCAGGAAACGTCACTTGTGTTTTGTTACTGACTTGCCGTGTGTCCTTGGTCATCTCTGGGCTTCGGCTTCCTTACCTGTGCAGTAGGGCTCTGCCTCCCCTGCATTACCCCAATGCTGCTGTCCACATGGGTTAAGGACTAAACTGTTGCAGAGTTACAGAATGCAGCCCTGCAGGAGAGAGGAGGAGACCCCTGGGACTTTGGGGAAACCACGGACCGCCATGATTGGAGCTGGCCCTAGACAGCTCCCTGGGGCTCTTCCCATTGGGCTGCAGGTGTGGTTCCTGGAGCAGCAGAACAAGGTCCTCGAGACCAAGTGGACCCTCCTTCAGGAGCAGGGCTCCAGTTCTAATAGCAACGACAACAACCTTGAGCCTTTTTTTGAGAACTACATCAGTAGCCTCAAGGCCTTCCTGGATGGGCTGCACACAGAGAAGGACAAGCTGGAGGGTGAGCTGAGGAGCAGGGAGGAGCCGGTGGAAGACTTCAAGAAGAGGTGTGCACTGCCCCGTCCCTGCTTGAGGCGGGTGAGCCGGCAGGTGGCAGGGGTGGGTGGCAGGAGGCCTGGGCTCTGGCTTCGCTCTGTTCCAGCTAGCTGTAAGCTTGTAGAATTTACCCCGTGACTCTCAGTAGCCCAGTCTTTAACGGAGTGGCTTATGGTTTGCTTGAGGCAGAAGTCCTTCTGAGAATTTAGTGAAAGGGCATACACACAGAATTCTGGAGAGTTCCAAGACACCCCGGAGCTAACAGACTCGGCTAACGTCCTCTGTCCTCCCTGGGCTAGACCGTCTTCAGGTTCTCCTCCGAATCGGAATTTTATTTCCCCTGTCAATAAGCTCCTCAGCAAATAGCAACTTGCTGTGCCTTGGCCCAGCCTCATTCTGCCCCTTAGGAGCTCTGTGATCAGGCTCCTCACCGTAAAATGGAAAGAGTGGGAGCATTTACCCTATTGGTTGTAACGAGGATTCAATGAGTTAATATAAGCAGAATTCACTGGCACATTCTTAGCGACCCATTCTTGGGTTTCACTGATTTGTTATGTGTCTACTGGGAGCCCATGGGGCTACTATACTCATTATACGCTAGTTGGTACCACCCACCTCCCTCCCAAAAGCACCTGGCAGCTCAGCCATCTCCCTTTGGTCTTAGAAATGGTTTTCAAAAATCCAAAAATTTCCAGGAAGCCTTAGGAGATGAATCAAAATAGGACCCCAAAATAGGAACGGGCTTCTACTCCAGTGTCCAGCAATGAAGTGGTTATTCATTATTGTTAAGTGGTACCTGGCACATAGCAGGGAGTCTGTTGAACGAATTCTTCCTTGACTTCGGAAGGGCTGTGCCTTGCAATGACACCTGTCTTGAGTGAAACTGGCAGAAGTCCTGAGTCCATGTTACTTATGAGAAGGGCTCTGGGGCCATGGGGACGTCCCAGAGAAGGCAGATCAGACAGGGGCTCTTTTCTCACAGGTATGAAGAGGAGACCAACAAGCGCGTGGCTGCAGAGAATGGCTTCGTGGTCTTGAAGAAGGTGAAGGGTCCCTCCCTACCCCCACCTCCCACTAAGCAGAGTGGCTGGAAGATTGAGGGGAAGCATGAGTTTAGTCCTGCTAAGCTGAGGGTCTCCTTTAGGCTATGTGGGTGAGGGCCGGGGCCAGGGAGGGAGCCTGCTGAGCAGGGTGGGCAGGCAGGGGCAGGTTATAAAGGGCCTGCCAGACTTTGGCGATACCTCTCCCTGATGGGCATGTGGGGCTTATGAATCTCATTAGGTCTGGAGTTTTGATGAGAAAATGGACAAAGGGAAGCAACAGGGTTTTGTGTTTTCAGGAGTACATCCCCATAATCCATCTAAAGAGAAACTTTGAGGGTTGCACAGTCACAAACCCTCCTCTGCCCTGGGCCCATTGTGGTGGCCCCAGCCCTGCTCTCCTTCCCCCCCCCCCCCCCCCCCCCCCCCAGCCCCTTAGCTCCTTTGCTCCTCTCTGTTGGGTATGCACCAGCCCAGCCTGTCAGACAGTGGTTTAGCCCTGTGAGGACACGCCTGCCTCATTTCCCCTGAGAGGGAGCTCCTGGGGGGGGGGGAGGGGAGAGGCTCCTGTGGCCCCTTCCTCATGGCCCAGGACTGGGCCAGCCCACAGGCTGGAGGGAACAGTGTTTGAACTGTCCCCCAGGATGTCGATGTTACCTACATGACCAAAGTGGAACTGGAGGCCAAGGTGGAGACTGTGACAGATGAGATCAACTTCCTGAAGACCTTCTATGATGTCGTGAGTGTGCTTTTCACGTGCAAGCCTCTGCGCCACCTGCCTGACCCCTCCTGGAGAGGAAGGCACTCAGAGCTCACCATTAGGCGCTTGAGTCCTGTCTGTGATTCTGACAAAAGTGATACCTTCCCACCTGGCCCTCAGTCGGTCCCGACCCTTCCAGAGCTGGTGGCTCCCCATCTTCTGCGGGGCCCTGGTGTGGATCTGCTCAGGAATGGGCATGTCTGCCTGGCTCCGCAGGAGCTCCGCAGACACCAGCGACACGTCTGTGGTCCTGTCCATGGACAACAACTGCTGCCTGGACCTGGATAGCATCACTGCTGAGGTCCGTGCACAGTATGAGGCTATTGCCCAGAGGAGTAAGGCAGAGGCCGAGGTGCTCTACCAGACCAAGGTGGGTGACACCAACATGTAACTCTGGACGACCTCGCTCTCCCATCAAGCTACATGAGCAGGCCATCCAGGAGGGCAGACCTTGCCTCTGAGTCATTCTTTTCTCTATCGCCAGCAGAGCAGTCCCCTCACTGCCTCACTGGTCTGATCTCACCCACATACATCTCCCTTCCTAACCGGAAAGCTCTGACTTTGCTCTAACTTGGTGCTTCTCAACAGGAGGGGAAGGCATGATTTTCTCCCAGGAGATGTTTGACAGTGTCTGTAGAGACTTTTGGTTGTCACACCTGGGGTGGCGGTGGGGGTGCTACTGGAGTCTAGTGGGTAGAGGTCAGGGATCCTGCTACACATCCTATAATGCATGACCCTGCCTCCCAACAAGAAATTATGCTGCCCCAAATGTCAGTATGCCCAGGTCAGAAAATCCTTAATCCCTCTGGCTGCATTCTCTTTATTGCTGGAGACATTTCCATCACTCCTCCACCAATCAGGACCTTGTCATCGTGTGCTCTGATTCAATCACACTGAGGGGTTGAAGTCAGCATCTGGAAAGAAGTGGGGAGACACAGAGGGGGGTGGAGCAAAGGGGCTACAGGCACAAGGAGTTCTGTCCGCCTCCTTCTGTTCCCAAATCTGAATGGGGCATCAGCTGGCCCATGTACGGCTGACTCTTCTGTCTTTTCTGCCCAAGGAGGGACAGTCTGCTGGTTAAGAAGATGGTTCTAGCATCTGCAATGTTGGCATTCAAATTCCGGCACTGTCACTTGATAGCTGGATGAGTTTAGTCATGGGACTTAAGCAGTCTGTGCTCAGTTTTCCCATTCATAACATGGAGGTAACCGTGCCTTTCTCATCTGGTTGTTGCGAAGTATGACATCAAGCACAGGGCCTGGTGCAAACTGTCTGCTCCACAAACAGCAGCCGTTGTGCTAGAAGACAGGTCCCTTGATGCAGGGGCGAGAGCACTCAGTTCCGCCAACTGGGCGACTCTGCGGTAGTCACATGTCTGTGCTTTGGTTTTCTTGTGTGTGATGTGAAGGGTTGGGTTAGGGGATCTGTAAGGCACCTGCTGGCTTTCTGAAAGGGTAACTCTTTCCTGGACACAGTTGGGGGAGCTGCAGACCATGACCGGCAGGCATGGAGATGACCTGAAGAACACCAAGAGCGAGATCTCTGAGCTCAACAGAATGATCCAGAAGCTGCGGGCTGAGATCAAGAGCACCAAGAAGCAGGTGGGAAGAGGAGGAAGAGCATGTGTCTGAGACTATGGGCTTACGCTTGCCCCATAAATCCCAGGGCTCAGCACTTCCTTACCACAGTGAAACCATGTCCTGGACTCATGCATGCCAAGATTGACCAGGTGCAGTTCTGGGCTGGGTGCTGAGCAAAGCTTGTCATGTGGATCCAGGTCCTGTCCCTGGAGTCTGGTTGCTGATGTGGGTCAGAAATACTGAATACAGGCAAGGTTAGGGAGGTCGGGGAAAGAAGCTGACTGGGTGAAGAATGAATTGGGAGAGTAGCTCAGGAAAGTTTCTCTGATAATCCAGGAAGACTTCTTGGAGGTGGGAGGTCTTTGGAAGATGCTCAGTCTCTTACCACGAAAGGCGAGAAATGCAGAGTCTGACTCCTTGTGAGCTGGGCTAGGTCCTTGAAGCCAGGTGTCACTAACTCCACTCCTTGATGTGCTAGGACCTAGACGAAGGCCCAGGTTTTAACCTCTGTGGGTGGTAGTTTCCTCATTTGCCCAGTGTGAGGTGACCCACATGCAGACACCAAGCATACAGTGCAGGCTCTCAGTGTATGTCACTTGAATCTAAATCGAACTCCTGCCCCCATCCCCCGAGAATGCCAACCTGCAGACGGCCATCGCTGATGCAGAGCAGGGCGGGGAGCTGGCCCTCAGGGACGCCAATGCCAAGCTCCAAGACCTCAAGGCTTCCCTGCTGCAGGCCAAGGAGGACCTGGCCAGGCTGCCCTGGGAGTACCAGGAGCTGATGAATGTCAAGCTGGCCCTGGACATTGAGATTGCCGTCTACCGGACCCTCCTGGAAGGCGAGGAATGCAGGTTAGTGGGAATCCCTCTGGTTCCCAAAGAGGCAGTGACGCCCGGTGGCTTTCCTGCCTGAGCCAGCTGCCAGGCATCGGGTACCATCAGTGTGTGCATGTGCGCACTGCTGGAGGTGGTGATGCGCCCTTGGCGGGCCCAGCCTGCTCCTCTTCAGGGCTGCAAGATGATGCCAGACCTCCAGAGAGCTGTGTTTTCTGTACAATAGTGACACCACCTGAACCTTACCTTGGGTAGACTTCCCACCCTTCTTGTCTCATGTCTTAGCTGTAAAACACATGTCTGCAAAGAGGAGTCATAGGCATAAATATTATTTCTAGGCCATTTCTTTATCATTGGCTTAATTGTAGGTCTGAAGAGTCAGTTCCTGTAGCCTGACCCTTGGGTACAGGACCTTGGCCCATATGGATTCAAATAATATTGACTGAATAAAGAGAGGATGGGTAGGCCAGGGGATGTTCCTCTACTGTTGCTCTGGGATGTTAGTAGGAAGGGCAATAATTAAAGTCCAACCTTACCCATCCAGAGTCCATCCTATTTCTTATTGCCAATGTCAATTGCCGTGGACCTAAGCAGGTGCATCTAGCAGAGGGAGTTGCCACACAGGTCGCTAACACTGACCTCTGCTCTTCCCACAGGATGTCTGGTGACTGCCAGAGTTCTGTTAGCATTGGTGAGTTACCCAGTGCTTTCTCTGGGAAGGGGCTGGACGGCTGAGATTAAGGTTTCTCAAATCATGGGCCAGCGTTGGTGTGAGATCATCTCACCTGCAGGCTGGGAAGAGCTCTTGGGTGGTGGCCAGGGTAACCCAGGGGCTCTGAGTCCCTCCTTCCCCTGCCAGCCACCTGCCCTCACCACCCTGTGTGGAGTTTCAGTGGGTGGGACACCGGGGAAGGCTGGAGGGCAGAGGGGGTGGCCCCGGGGCTGTAGGATGCCCCATAGGCTCCCTGACCTCAAATGCTCTTTGCAGAGATGGTACACAACACCAGCAGCGGAGGCGACAGCGGCTGTGCCCAGGGAGGGGCCGCCCTGGAAGGCAGAGCTGGGGCCCACAGGGGCCTGGGCTCCGGAGGGGGCTCGGTGCTACGCGGGGGCTTCTCTAGTTCGGGGGGCCCCAGGGCCACCCGCGGGGGGGGCAGCAACAGCTCCCGCCAGGTCTCACAAAGTTCCTCCCAGAGCTGGCGGTCCCACCACAAATTCTGAAGGGGGCGCCCCAGGTGTCTCAAGACCCCAGCCCCCTTCGTCTGCCCACACACCCCAGTTCTGCATGCTGTTCCACAACCCCGTGGGACCCTTTACCACTGCATCTCTGACCTGCGACCTGGAGTCCCACCTTCCCAGACGACTGGCATCTTAGCCCAAAATTTGCTGCCAAGGATGATTGGGTTGAAAAACCATCTATTGACCCAAAGCCAGGCTGAGGGGCATGGCCCAGGAGCCGGGTTTTTCATCATCTCTGCCTCTCAGGTGCCCCCCCTTCCAGCCCCACATCCCACTGGCTTGAGGGAAAGCCCCAGGCAGCCGACGCACACACCTACCTGTGCCTTGATTTCCCATGAGTGGTACTTGTCCGTTTTTGGCTCCAAGAAAAGACCTCTCTGTCCTGTAGCTTCAATAAACTGCATTGTGGTTCGCACCTGGTGGTGGAATTTTCATTCTGGCTTCCATGGTCCCTGGTTCTTTTTTTTTTTTTTTTTTAATGTTTATTTTTGAGAGAGAGACACACACAGAGTGCAAGCAGCAGAGGGGCAGGGAGAGAGGGAGACACTGAATCCTTAGCAGGCTCCAGGCTCTGAGCTGTCAGCACAGAGGTGGACTCGGGCTAGAACCCATGAACCATGAGATCATGACCTGAGTCGAAGTGGGGGGGTCTAACCAACCGAGCCACCCACGCGCCCCCCCCCCATGGTCCCCGATTCTAGTCTGCACACCCACCCATGGGTCATGGCAGACCCTTTCACACGGAGACTTCCTCCTGAGCCTGGAGGGAGACAGGAAGCTCTAGTTTTCAGGCAGCAGAGGCCTTTTCAGCCATCAGACACTATGGATGACACGGATCCACGTCCTTAACTGATAAGATTTTCAACTCATAAACATTTCATTACATTTGAAAAAAGTTATAGGTTAGATTTGCTTGCTTTTCAGTAATTCCAAGTATGTCTGAAATTGTCCACAAATTACAGCTAGTTGTAATTGAATGAGTTGTCAGTAGACAAATATTTTCAAAAGGCAATTATAGAAATTCAAATGTTTCATAGCAAAAGCGAATGTGTTTGATACGATGTGGGGTGAAGCCTTCGGATCTGAAGAGTTATGAGAACCGACAAGAACTTAGAATGGCCTCATGACAGGTCACTGCCCTTCCCCACCTCAGACATCGCACTCGATCAAGGCAGATCCAGGGGTACTTGGGTGGAACACAGGTTCAGTGCAGGGCCAGGGAGGACCCTCACCAACCGGGGACATAGAGGTGGGAGAAGCAAAAACAAAAGATGAACAAAGGTATGAGTCCATGCATGAATACCTTCTTTGTAAATCATGGTCCTCATTAGCATAAAGGACTGCCAAAGGATGTCAGAGAAACAGAAAGAGAAGACACACCTTAGAGCGATCACAGAAACTCTTAGCTAAGTAAACACCCACCTGCCAGAGAGCCAAGTGCTCACCGGGCTAGAAAAACACAACACACAACTGCAGCTTTGACAGAGAATGTTCTCGCTCTAGAGTGAAAAGTTTACCCGGAATAGCCAGAACTGGAGAGAGGGAAGTCTGGGGACTGTCCCGTTGCAGCCGGTCCCCACAGGGGCTGCAGCCTCACCTCTCAAAAGCAAACCCACTGTTGGCCATACCTGGTGCCCCTCCATCCACCCCCCTCCGCTCCATCCCATCCCTGGTGGTGAATGCCTGGCGGTGGAGAGAAGTGCCTTTAGCTTAATGGCTTGTTTCAAACTTACCAGGAAGTTGCCGGATTCCTTAAAGTAGGATGATTAAAGAAAAAACTTTCTGAGTCTTTCATATGGTTTACAAAATATCACAGGGCCATGTTTTCTGGCTCACGATGACATTCTGATTTGTTAAGGGAAGCGGGACGGAAAAAACAGTTTGGTTAATAGAAATCTGCACACATTGTGCAGCAATACGATCTTTGTTAAAACCGATGCTGTCTTGTGATTCGCCTGGCACTCTGCTAGCAGCTTTTTTTTTTTTTTTAATGTGTATTTATTTTTGAGAGAGAGAAAGCGAGCAGGGGAGGGGCAGAAAGAGAGGGAGACACAGAATCCGCAGCAGCTCCAGGCTGTGAGCTGTCAGCACAGAGCCCGATGCGGGGCTCGAACTCACAGACTGCGAGATCATGACCTGAGCTGAAGTCTGACGCTTAACCGACTGAGCCACCCAGGCGCCCCTCTGCCAGCGGCTGTTTATGAACGAGGTCATTTAATCTTCACAGAGGTGGGCAGTGTTATGGCCTCTACTTTACAGATGAGGCAACCGAGGCACAGAGAGATTAAGTGGTGGAGCCAGGATTCAAACTCCAGCAGCTGTTCCGAACCTGCCTCATAAAGCAGAACGTGATCCAGCACAGGCTTTGGCAGCAGGCTTCCCTGGTGTGGTGGGGGCCACTTGCAAGCTGCCAAACCATGGCCGAGCTGCTTGGGGCCCCCCCACCGCTCCCCCACCCCGCCTGCTCCGTGCTAAATCTCATCAGTAAAACGAGGTTGCTCAGGTTGAATGATATCGTCTGTTTAAGCCCTGGCACATTGTGAGAGCCCAGTAAATGACCATTACTGTCAATGGACGACGACCTTTCGGGAACCCACCTATTCTTTAAAAGAAGGAATGGTAAGACATTGTTAATTCTTCATGTTTGTGTCTCCCCCACTATGGGCAAGGGGAGACATGGTCTGGGAGGTTCCCACAGGTCTCCCATTCCCTGCCCCCACCCCCCGTGGATTTGTGATTCTGGTCCCCAGCGCACCGCTTACTAGCCCTGTAACCTTGAGTCGACCCCATTTTCCTCTTTGGCCCGGCGTAGGGAAGTACCCTCTGCCAGACAACCCCAGTAGTCCCCTGCCAGGGCCTCGAGGTCTCTCTTGGAATTCAATCCCCGTCTAACCCATAGCCTTGTTTTCTTTCGGGCCCACACCTGTCCCGCTGCTCCCTTTGCCTTAGAGACCAGAGAGAGGTGCCAGCTTTATAAATGGCTGTATAAATAGTCACGGCTTCCAGCATGTTGGGTGGAAGGGTTTGATACGTCTGGAACAATATTATCTCTGGACCTTGGCCATGAGAATGTGCAGGGCTGCTCTGAGACCTTGTGAGGGCTTGCGGCCCCAGAGCACCTGTTGGGTTTTACGAGGAAGAGAGACACTGCCTGATCCTTAGTTTCCAGGTGGGCCCTGGGATTCTAGTCAAAAGGATATCGGGGGGGGGCCCCGGGGGGCCCTGGCTGGTTTGGGGCCTGAGGAGAAGCTTGAAGGCTTCGCTCTTGCTGCAAACACCCACCACAACCCAGAAATTAGGAGAGAGATTTCCCAGGGGTGTGCCTCTGTGTGGGGCACCGCTTTCTCACCTCTGCAGGCAGGGCCTGTTAGAGATTGGAGGTGGGGCTCCCCCATATCCATTTCGCCCAGGCTGCAGGAACAGAGAGGCTGTGGGAATTTTTCATAGGCTCTGGCTCTTTCTGGGTTGGGAGGGAGGGTACCCAAGCTCTTGCATCACCAATTGTCCCAGTGACCTTGACCGAGGCCTTCCTTTCTTTGTAGCTAGTTCTTTCTTGTAAAATATGAAGGCTCTGGGCTGGTGGCGAATAGTGGTCGGAGGGAATGGGAAGCCCAGGCCAGGAGCTTCGGTTCAGTCCCAGGACCCTGCTCTCCTTGATCTCTGTCGCATCATTGCCTTCCCCTGCTGCCCAGGGGTCCAGAAACTCCTGTCTGAAGGAGATTAAAGGCCTCCATACCTACACCAGGGCCATAGCTGTCTCCTCCTTCCTGAGCAGAGGTGACTAAAATCCTCCCTCCCTCCCTTTCTCTGTCCCCACACCCCTGCCACACTTCTGCGCTGCCCGGCGATATCCACCTCCAGACCTGGGAGGTGCAGGCTGAGATGGGGAGCAGATTTGGGGGGGCTACCCCTGCCTGTCACTGTGGCAGCTCCTCTCGAACCCTGCCCCCCACTGCTGCCCGAGACTGTGATCAGGTGGCTGATAAGTGCCCTGGGCCTCACCCTCTTGGCCGCCCTGGGTTTCAGCACCCGGGAGACAAGCAGGGCAAGCCGGAGCCCTCAACCGACTTGCTCCTTCCCTTTAAGGAGAGTGCTGCCGGCAGGTGGGCAGAGCGCGGAGGGGAGGAAGAGGGCACGTCTGTCTCCAGAGACCCCACATCTTCTGCGGTACATGTGGGCTCTGGAGTGGGAGTGCTTGGGTTCAGATCTCCACACCACCGTTGTCATCTGTGTATTCTTGAGCAAGTTACTGAGCTCTCTACGTCTCCTTTTCCCCACCTGGAAAACGAGAGTAATTATAAGAATGGCTTCCTTGGGGCGCCTGGGTGGCGCCGTCGGTTGGGCGTCCGACTTCAGCCAGGTCACGATCTCGCGGTCCGGGAGTTCGAGCCCCGCGTCGGGCTCTGGGCTGACGGCTCCGAGCCTGGAGCCTGTTTCCGATTCTGTGTCTCCCTCTCTCTCTGCCCCTCCCCCGTTCATGCTCTGTCTCTCTCTGGCCCAAAAAGAAATAAACGTTGAAAAAAAAAAAAAAAAAAAGAATGGCTTCCTTATACGGGCTCCTGGGAGGCTCAGTTGGTTAGGTATCTGGCTCTTGACCTCAGCTCACGTCATGATCTCATGGGTCATGGGATCGAGCCCTGCATCGGGCTCTGTGCTGACAGCAAGGAGCCTTCTTGGGACTCTTTCTCTCCCTCGCTCCCTGCCCCTCCCCCACTCGCTCTCTTTCCACCTCTCAAAATAAATTTAAAAAGATAGTTTAAAAGAATGGCTTCCTTATAACGTGTCTTCTAGATTGAGACTCTCCATGTTTTAGCCCACAGAAAGCACTTGGTAAGAGGTTACCACGGTTGTGTATTCTTTTGTCCTTGAGCTGAATAGAATCTCAAGATTCAAGATTTCATTGGTTCTGCTGCTTCCTCCATGCCAGTGGGTTCAGAACTTTTCTGCCCATTAAAGCCTTCTGGGACCTTTAAAAAGTTCCA